ACCACCATGCCTGGCTAATTTTTTTTTTTTTTTGTAGTGATGGGGCCTTGCTATGTTACAGCCCAGGCTGGTTTTGAACTAGCCTCCCAAAGTGCCTGGATTATAGGCCACTGTGCCTGGCTCTTTGTATATTTTGGATAGCAGTCCTTTATCAGATGTGTCTTTTACAAATATTTTCTACTGCTTTGTAGCTTGTCTTCTCATTCTCTTGACATTGACTTTTGCAAAGAAGTTTTTAATTTTAATGAAATCCAGCTTATCAATTGTTTCTTTCATGGATTGTGCCTTTGGCAGTGTATCTAAAAAGTCATTGCCATACCCAAGGTCATCTAGGTTTTCTCCTGTGTTATCTTCTAGGAGTTTTGTAGTTTTGCCTTTTACATCTAGCTCTCTGATCCATTTTGAGTTAATTTTTATGAAGGGTATAAGGTCTCTGTCTAGATTCATTTTTTTGCATATGGCTGTCGAGTAGTTTTAAAACCATTTGTTGAAAAGACTGCCTTTGCTTGATTGTTTTGCCTTTGCTGCTTTGTCAAAGATCAGCTAACTATATTTATATGGGTTTATTTCTGGCATCTGTATTCTGTTCCACTGATCTACTTGTCTATTTTTTTTTTTACCAGTACCACAGTGTCTTGATTGCTATAGCTTGTAAGTCTTGAAGTCAGATAGTGTCAGTCCTCCAACTTTGTTCTTCTCCTTCAAAACTGTCAGGTATTCTGGGTTTTTTTGCCTTTTCATATAGACTTTAGAATGAGTTTGTTGATATCCACAAAATAACTTGCTGGGAATTTGACAGGATTGCATTGAATTTATAGATCAAGTCGGGAAGAACTAAAAATATTGAGTCTTCCTGTCCATGAGCATGTCTCTCCATTTATTTAGTTCTTCTTTGATTTTATTTATCATCATTTTGTGGCTTTCCTCATATAGATCTTGTACATATTTTGTTAGATTTATACCTAAATATTTCATTTTTAGGGTGCTAATATAAGTGGTAATATGTTTTTCATTTCAGATTCCACTTGTTCATTGCTGGTATATAGGAAAGCGATTGACTTTTGTTTATTAACCATATATCCCACAACCTTGCTATAATAATCACTTATCTTTTTTTTTTGAAGAAGAAGAAAAACTTTACAGATACAGTTAAAGGGCTCTTCTACTATATGTGTGTTTATCCATAAATAATATATAGTACTTTTGTGTATGTAAAAATACATGCTTAAATATTATCTTTTTAATATCTTTTTGAAACTTGATTTTATTGTTAGGTTTTCAAGATTTATTCATGGCCAGGTGCAGTGGCTCACGCCTGTAATCCTAGCACTCTGGGAGGCCCAGGTGGGCGGATTTCTCTAGGTCAGGAGATCGAAACCAGCCTGAGCAAGAGCAAGACCCCATCTCTACTATAAATAGAAATAAATTAATTGCCTAACTAATATATATAGAAAAAATTAGCTGGGCATGGTGGCGCATGCCTGTAGTCCCAGCTACTCGGGAGGCTGAGGCAGAAGGATTACTTGAGCCCAGGAGTTTGAGGTTGCTGTGAGCTAGGCTGACACTACGGCACTCACTCTAGTTTGGGCAACAAGGCGAGACTCTGTCTCAAAAAAAAAGATTCATTCATGTTGGTACATTTGTCCCTAGTTCATTTTAACTGCTCTATGATGTTCCATCATGTTTAGATTTCACTTGTATTTGTAAATGTATAAAATTTATCCATTCCTGAATTGATATTTATGTCAACTACAGTTTTTTTGATATTATGAATAATGATACAGCAAACATTCTTATATTTCCTTGTGCCACTTTGTGAGAATGTGTCTAAATTATAGTTTTAATTTCCCTGATTACTGTAGAGTTTGAGATCCTTTGCAGTGGTCCCCAACTTTTTTGGCACCAGGGACTGATTTCATGGAAGACAATTTTTCCATGGAAGAGGCAGGGGGAGGTGGAGCTCAGGCTGTGATGCAAGCAATGGGGAACAGCTGTAAATAAAGATGAAGCTTCTCTTGCTCTTACAAACTTCTGCTATGCATCCAGGTTCTAAGTTTCATGGAAGACAGTTTTTCCATGGATGGGGATGTGGGGGGAGTGGGGCAGAGCTCAGGTGGTGATGCATGGCCCAGTTCCTAATAGGCCATGGACTGGTACTGCCCCAGATTGATGCCTGGCCATGGTCCGGGGCTTGGGGAATGCAGCTTTATAGTATCTGTTCACTATTTGGGTTTCCTCTTCTGTGAGTTGTCTTTTCCTATTGGAGTTTTAAAAATTGTTCATAGGAATTCTTTGCATCTTCTGGGTATCAGGCCATGTATTAATCCATTTGATGCTGCTATAAAGGAATGCCTGAGGCTGGGTAATTTATAAAGAAAGGAGGCTTATTTGGCTCATGGTTCTGCAAACTGTACAAGAAGCTTGGTTGCCAGTGTCCACTTTTGGTAAGGGCTTCAGGGAACTTCCAATCAAAGGAGAAGGCTAAGAGGTAGTAGACATGTCACATGGTGAGAGAAGGAGCAAAGAGAGGGAGGAGTTGGTGCCAAGCTCTGGAGCTAATAAAGTGAGAACTCATTATTACTGGGCAGGCACCAGGCTATTCATGAGGAATCTCCCTGAAGACCCAGACACCTCCCACCAGGCCCTACATTCCTGACATTCAACACTGGGGATCAAATTTCTACCTGAGATTTGGAGGGGCTAAACATCCAAATCAAACATCCAAAAATTACCAGTTTTGTGCATTGCTAGAAAGTTTATAATCTCAGGCAGTCCTGTCCTGGTCCCTCAGTGTATTCCAGTTAAGTCTGCTTCTGTTTTTACTCCTGTGCTTCCTTATTTATTTTTACCTGGATATTTTTGAATTATGATAATAAGGTAGAGGATCCCTTCAATTGTGCATCAGATGAATTTGCTTTGTTATGGTTCATTTTTTGTTCTATAAGGCTGGCAGTATAGAATAGCACTTAAGAGTAGGGGTTATGAAGTCTTCACTGCTTGCTTTTGAATCTTAGCTAAATCACTTATTGTATGATCTTGGCAAGTTTATTCTCTTGTACTTGGCTTTATAATCTATAAAACCAATGAGGGTAGAAGAACTAGTATGATCACCATTTTATATTTGAGGCACAGGGAGATTAGAAACATGAGCAAGTGGAAGAAACATGTAGGTATCTCCTTCCTTTGATTTTCCACTTTTGCTACAGACATAGGTATAGAGAAATATTTCCTTAACATAAAAAACACAGTAGGAAAAGCAGTGATAAGTCCCTGACTCATGGCTTCAGTGTTGGGGAAAAAAATAGGAGTGAATTATGGAGAACTAAAGTGCCCATGGCCTGTCTAAATCTATTAGTAGAGTGAAAAGCCATTTGTATTTTCATTAAAATAGAATAAAACAACAAAACCCCAAACCATTATTTACATGAGCATAACTTGATGTTTTACAGAGTGGTAAATTTCTAAGAGATACAGAATTTAGTTACCATCCCAGGCCAACGAATTCATAGTTGGAATAGGCAACTCATAAACACAGAACACTGTGGGCTGTACTTAAGGGATCAATCTAGTGGACAATGAAATACTTTGGAGGGAGACATAGAACTTTATTTTAACCCGACAGTGCAAGGAAGAAGGAAGTTAAGAAACAAAGAAACTCAAGAAGCAAAGATAACTTCTTTCTAGGGGAGGGAAAGTAAGTATGATTTGGCTACTGTATATGTACTTATTTTATCACACACTCACAAAAAAGTCTCCCAAACCCAGCCTAACAGTTATAGTGGGCACTGTAAACAACTCCTTTATAGCCATCTAGGTATGGCTGTGTAAATACAAACATAGATATGCAAGTGTAAGCATATTCATTTATGCTTACTCTTTGGAGCACCCATTTAGGTGCTGGGTATTTCACAGTGAACGAAACTGACAAGGTTCCTGCTGTCATGGAGCTTTTTAAAAATTTGTTTTATACAAATGAATGTTGATATACATACTATTTTATACCTCATTTTCTCCTTAATGAAGACATTTGGACATCTTTCTGCATTAGCTCTTATATATTTACCAATTTAATGGCTTCATAGTGTGCCCTTGTATGGATGTGCTGTAATTTTTGGCTATTGTATTTTTAGTCGAATGGAGGAAGGGAGACAGAGGCACAGAGCTTGCTATGCTTTGCTGCCATTGTAACTTATATTTTTATGATGAAAATATAAGTTTGTTATAAAAAGAAAAAGTAAAAACCCAATCTGTCCTCTACTTCTCTCTTTTAATCCTATTTCCTAGAAATAATAACCATTGTTAAGTCTGTTTATCCTTCCAGATATTTTTAATGAATCTTGCAAATATAAAGAATATATAGAATATATATATTCTCATTCTCTAAGATCTGGCTGATGCAGTGTAATAATTGCTCATTTAATTCAGAATCTTGAGAGTTATGCAGAGGTAAGAGTTGGGCTGAGCTTCATGAGAACCGATTCTTTCTAGACCACCTACTGTAAGAGTCAGGTGATTCCTTAGTTGTCATTTGTACAGTGTCTCATAGTTATGAGATCACATCAAGGAGATTGTTTTGAAAACAGTTACTCTAGAAATATTACCTTAGTGTTCTTTGGTTACAAGCAATAAAAATCAACTCAGGATCTGTTAAACTAAAGAAAGGACTTTAGCTAAAGGATTCTAGGTAGCATATGAAGAAATACTGTAACAACTGGGCTGTGGAAAGACAGGAACAGGATGGTTTTAGGGATCTCAATATCAGTGCTTATTCCTTTCAATTTCTATATTGAATTGTTTAAGGTTCAATTCCTGTGAGAGACTGAGTGGCTAGAGGTCATGTGCCTACTGATGGGGGTAGAATCTTGGTTTTATGTGCCCCATCAGAGAATTATGGAGTTTTGGAGGTGCACTTTTGGAAAGGATGGGATTTGAGGCTGGCAAAACCAAGTGTCAGCCTTGCAACAGCTGTTTTAACCCTAGATTCTTACTCCCTTCTTAAGGAGGAGATGACCGCCGGGTTCTGCTATGGCACATGGAACAAGCCATCCACTCCAGGGTCAAGCCCATACAGCTGAAAGGAGAGCACCATTCCAACATTTTTTGCCTGGCTTTCAACAGTGGGAACACCAAAGTATTCTCTGGAGGTGAGAAGGGAGATACCACCATGAGAAATTCACTGTGGTTGGGATTTTAGAGAAAGAAGTGCTAAAATCCCATTGAGTTGTGGAATTCCTAGTTTCCCATAGCTTGTCTTCTCTGCATTATAGCAGTACTACGTATTTGGGTAGTGTATCTGTCTGTCTTTTCTCTCCTCCCTTCCTTCCTCCTTCTCTCCCTCCCTCCCTTGATAATGGCTTCCATCAACCACACCCCTCTGACCACCAAATTTCCAGCCCTTACCTCTTTTTTGAGCTGCATATTTCCCCACTGGGTATCTACTTGTGTCCCCAAAGCAATTTAAATGCAACAGATAATGAAACTAACATTATTAGTCCTTTCCTGCTCCCAAATTTCCTCTTTTTCTGCTGGATTTCTTTTCTCAGGTATTATTAACATTCCTCCAGTTATATTAACTATTAGGTGTAACTTTAAGAAATGCTGACATTTAATCATTTTCAACTTATAAAAATTGTAATTTCACATGGTTCATTCTAATAATGATCTTGAAGTCATCCTCAAACCTGCCTTTCTTTCACGTACACATCTAGTCAGATATCAGGTCTTGTCAGATCTGTCCTGAAAGCCTCTCATATTCATCCTTTAGTTTCTGTTCTCTTTTTATACTCACTGCTCTGCTTTGGGTCCTCATCTTTGGCCTGAATTGTTGCAATGGCCCTCTGTGATGTCTGCTACCAGTCTCTAACCCCTCCTTTGAATTCATTGCTTATACAAGTTTTCTTTTTAAACATAAAGGTTTGACCATGTGAACCTTTGACCTTATAATGTTCACAGAATAAAGTCTAAACCCTGATCTATCTATGCGGCCTCATTTCCCTTCCCTGCTAGCCCATTACGCTACTTTCCATCTTAAGGTATGCACTGCACATTTTTTTTCTTTTTTGTTTAAAATAATTTTCTTTTCTTTACTTCATTTTTTTTTTCTTGTTAGCTTAGATTTCCTTTCAATCCCTGAAAACTTTTAAATACTAAATTGTAATGTGGACAAGGGACCACCTTGCAGGAATTATCAAATGTCTGATTTTTTTCTTTCCAGGAAATGATGAGCAAGTTATCCTCCATGATGTTGAAAGGTAAATAGATTATTGATGTATGAAGGTGATTGACTCTTTTTCATATTAAGAGAGGCAAATATCTCTTTAGATCAAAATAGTTTTTGTTTTTTGAGGAAAATAGTGTAAAACCAGCTATCCTTTTCTAAAAAGGATTCCAGTAAAAGTTTTGAAATAAAGGTTTTTTTTGTTTTGTTTTGTTTTGAGACAGAGTCTCACTCTGTTGCCCTGGCTAGAGCGCCATGGTGTCAGCCTAGCTCACAGCAACCTCAAACTCCTGGGCTCAAGTGATTCTCCTGAATAACTGGGACTACAGGCATGTGCCACCATGCCCGGCTAATTTTTTCTATATATTTTTAGTTGGTCAATTAATTTCTTTCTATTTTTTAGTAGAGACAGAGTCTCGCTCTTGCTCAGGCTGGTCTCAAACTCCTGAGCTCAAATGATCCTCCTGCCTTGGCCTCCCATGGTGCTAGGAGTACAGGTGTGAGCCACCATGCCTGGCCCCCTTTTTTTCTATTTTTGGTAGAGACTGGGTCTCACTTTTGCTCAGGCTGGCCTGGAACTCCTGAGCTCAAACGATCTGTCTGCCTCAGCCTCCCAGAGTACTAGGATTACAGGCGTGAGCCACCACACCGGGCCTGAAATAAAGTTTTTATTTATAAAAGAAAAAGAGATTTGCAAAGTTGGCATGAAAGTATAGTTTTTAGGTGAAAATTTGTAAGGAGGGGTTGGAAAAGAAGGGAGTATAATATTTAATAATAGCAATAATTTATTGAGCTAATAATTGAGCTAATATAGCTAATATTTATTGACTTCTTACTATTTGCCTGACACCATTCTAAGTGCTCTGTGTGAATTAATTCATTTAACCCTCACAATCATTTTATGAGGAGATACAATTGTGATCTCCATTACACATGAGGAAATGGAGGTGCAGAGGTGTTAGGTCAGGTGGCACTAGGATCTGAACTTAGGCAGTTTGGCGTCAGAGTCATGCTGTTAATCACCATGCCAGATTGCTGGGGGATCCCTCTTCCTCCCTGTTGGCATCAGATTTGGCTGCCTTAAAGCTTTCCCTTGCTTTTTGGACATCAAGCTCCGCTCTCAAATTTGTATATAAGCAGATACATTCTGTAATAAACAAAAACACAAACTCAGCTATTGAGTCACTTTAAACATGCTTATTTAGTACAAAAATTATCATGACATCTGTAAAAATGCTCTTTTATAGTACCTTTTTTTTTTTTAATGAAAATTGAATACCTACCTTTTAGGAAATATAATATCCTTTGGGTTTAGTTGGGTTGACTTCTAGAAATGAAAGAGACTGTACTCTAGGTACTGGAGGGGTGGGACTCTGCACTGTGTTTGTGTGTATGTGTGTGCCTCTTTCTTGCTCTCTATCTCTCAGCAGTGAGACCTTGGACGTGTTTGCTCATGAAGATGCAGTATATGGCTTGTCGGTAAGCCCAGTGAATGACAACATTTTTGCCAGTTCCTCAGATGATGGCCGGGTTCTTATTTGGGACATCCGGGAGTCTCCCCATGGAGGTAGGGTCACTGTGCAAAGAGCTGTTGGATTGTGTTGAACAGGTTGATGACAAGTTCATTGCACATCCAATTTATGGCCTGAGTTATCTAGGTGCAAGTGACATTAAGGGAGAGAAAATGTGAAACTCTCATATGGCATAAGGTGCATGTCTTTTGAGGTCTTATCCTACCCCAGAGTAGTCAGAAGTGAGGCACCTTTGCCACGCTTTCTCTACCCACCTGTGAATCTCCACAAACACTTGTACCTTGATGTTTAGTGGCCCCAAGGAGCAGAAGGTATGGTGCTTCACTATGAAGGATAGCCACTAAGGGCCAGCTCTGTGTGTGCTGCTGACATGCACATATTCTTGTTTGTTTACAGAGAATGGGGATGCCATGCACTTCTTGCATCCCAGCTTCAGGCTTGTTACTTTGTTGAAATGACCACAGAGCTTCACTGTATTTATGTACAGGATCTTAAAATGATGGCTAGTACACTCTGTTTAAAGGAAACTGTTCGCCAGACATGGTGGCTCATGCCTGTAATCATAGCATTTTGGGAAACCAAGGCAGGAGGATCGCTTGAGGCCAGGAGTTTGGGACCAACCTGGGCAACATAGCAAGACTCTGTCTCTGCAAAAATAATTAAAAAAAAATTAGCCAGGCATGGTGGTGCACACAAATAGCTGAAATAGTTCCAGCTATTTGGGAGGCTGAGACAGAAGGGTCGCTTGAGCCCAAGATGAGTTCAAGGCTACAGTGAGCTGTGGTCCCGCTACTGCCCTCCAACCTGGGTAACAAAGTGAGACCCTGTCTTTAAAAAATTAAAATAAAGGGGTTTGTGTGAGTGCCTCTTCCAAATGTGCCTTTTGAGTCTCTGACATGTAAAATGAAGAACTTGTTTTGTTAACTTTCTCCAAAGTTCTTCAGGAAATACATCTTTTCAGCTCATTTCCTACAGAGAGAGTTCTGTCTGTAACTCTGCCTGTCTTCAAAAGACCCGTTCATCCAGCATCACCCTCAGTGCCACTATCACACCCACCCTGGCCTTCAGTGTACTTTTGTAATGATCACACCTGTGTACACACAGTTATTATCCTGACTGCTTTGTCTCACAGAATCTGGGTCTTTTTGTCCTTCTATATTCCAAGCATTTAATGTATTGGGCTGTGCTCATTTTTGAGTTTCAGACTATAAGAAAAGCTTGTTCTTAGGGTTAGGAAGGTAAGGTAGCAGCAAGCAGCAGCCATGGATGAGTCAGTCCTATGTGCTTGGTAGGTGAGATTCACCTTTGTCTGAACTGCCTGATGACTGAGATAACTGAGTGCTTCACCTGCCCAGAGGCCTGTGAAGTACTACATATGGAAGTCATAAGCTGAGAAGTGCTTTCTGAGTATTACTCTAACAGGTTCCATGGGAGTATGTCCTCTTAGGCAACTAAGTGATTTCTTCTTTACCTGGAGCCTGCTAAATTATGCAAAGGAATGCAGTTTCTAGGTGAAGTTGATTAGGATCTAGTTGGGTGCAAGAGAAGTTCAAGTATTAGATACCTTTCTTTCTTTTTAAAAAAAATATTCTAGTATTGGAAGTAAAATCATAAAATTCTAGACTGAGGCCACTTTATTTCCAATTTAGGGAACATTGTGAACCAGAAGGGAAAACGACATTATTGTTTTGCCTTAATTTTTTCATTGATTTTTTTGTCTTCATTAAATCTGTGTGCAGTATAAAAACTTTTAATTTCTAAAACTGATAAATTTGGATTAAAAATATAACAGTCCTACCAGGAATTGGTTGTGAATTTTTTCAGCTCATGTGGAATTTAGTTTTACTTACTGTTAAACATTTTTAGTAACCATTTTCATTTTGTCACAGGATTTAAATAGATAGCTATATATATGTCTGAGTATTATAGCTTAAAATGTGGTTAAATGTGTTTAGCTGCTGTGTATGGGACTCATGGGGACTTTGTGAGTATAGGTGACTGGTGGGATGATGTACTACATTGAGTTCCAGGCCATGGAAGTGGTCATTAAAGAGCGTGCTCCTACTCACATCCACACTTCTGCTGCCCCTGGTCCAAAGGTGCCTGGAATGAACTGATCATGATTTCTCTTTTCACAGAGCCCTTCTGCCTGGCAAACTATCCATCAGCCTTTCATAGTGTCATGTTTAACCCTGTGGAGCCCAGGTTATTGGCCACAGCCAATTCAAAGGAAGGAGTGGGACTCTGGGATATTCGAAAACCTCAGAGGTGAGTCCCCGTTATTCATAAGGTGTTAAAACTTTCCTCTGCCTCATTTCTCATGTAATGTGATCAGCCAGCAAGTGTTTTGAGGACCTGTTTGGCAGTTATCTCAGTTGAGCATTTCCTAATATATACCGATACTTCTGAAGCTATGAGAGCCTGTTCCCAAGGAGCAGGCAGTGTGAGAAATCCATACTTTTTGCTGAGGATGAATCTTAAATGGGAATCTGAATTCTACACAGGGTCATTCTGGGCAATTGTGATGAATCATGAATGGGAATCTGAATTCTACACAGGGTCATTCTGGGCAATTGTATGAAGTAGTGAGAGCTTCCCTTTAGTATTGCATTCTCTCTTTAGGCCCCATGTTCCCCAGATGTGCAGGAACTCTTGCTAGGGGGAAAGAGATTTGCCAAACCCATTGCTGCTGAGCCAGGGGTTCTTAACCCTAGGCTGGAGGGGGTTCTTAAATGGGCTTCAGGAGAACTGTGAACTCCCAACGTTATATGGAAATTACATATTGTGTATTCATTTAAGTGCACTTTTCTGAGAAGGAAGTTTGCTTTTTCCAATTTCTCAAAAGGTCCAGTGACCATAAGAGCAGAAGATTCAGAGCCAGTGGACTATGGTGTTAGGGACCTCTATGTATTTCTTTTCCTGTTTGTCTTATTATAAGAGTACACTTAGGATAATCCTGAACTAATGTTACAAATTACTAATGGGAGAGTTTCAGGCATCGTTAAAGAATGTATAGATGGGGGTGACTAGAGGCTCTTTTATATTCCCTAAATCCCATGGGATAGGGACAACCTTTTATGGCACCTGTACATAAGCTGGCCTTGCTTTATAAAAACTTACATGTACTACCAGCCAGCTCCTTTAGAAATTCCACATGGTAGTAATTTCCCACTTCTTTTTTTTTGAGACAGAGTCTCACTCTCTTGCCTGGGCTAGAGTGCCGTGGTGTCATCCTAGCTCACAGCAACCTCAAACTCCTGGGCTCAAGGGATCCTCCTGCCTTAGCCTCCTGGGTAGTTGGGACTACAGGCATGCACCACCATGCCCGGCTAATTTATTTTTTTTCTATTTTTAGTTGTTTGGTTAATTTTTTTCTATTTATAGTAGAGATGGAGTCTCGTTCTTGCTCAAGCTGGTCTCGAACTCCTGAGTTCAAGCAATCCTCCTGCCTCGGCCTCCCAGAGTGCTAGGATTACAGGCATGAGCCACCACTCCTGGCCAGCTTCCCACTTCTTAAAGCTGTGTTGCAAAAGAATATCATGGAAAGTAAGCAAGGTTGTTATGGATTTCATGGGCCTCAGATGAAAGGGCAGTAAAGTACAGAGGATTATCTTCATCGATGATATTTAGTCCTAGGTGATTCTTTCCATGAGGCAGTAAGAAGGGGTTGGGACTATTGCAGCAGATCTGTGGGTATCCTTGATGTTGAGAAGAGCTCCCTGAGATTTAGCCTGTCCTCTCTCTTGCATACATACCTGGCTCTTGCTTTTCCAGGCTGTTGAAATATATGTGGTAGTAGGACCCCTAATCTGCCTTTACACTGTGTGCTTAAGGACGCTTGATCTCTGCCAGGAAGACAGTCTCCTGTGTTCAGCTGTGGCGTTCTCTGCCACTTCAGGCTCTTTAGGAATAACTGTTCTGCCTCATTCATATTTTAGAAGGCAGGATTTAGACTAACTGCCAGCCTTCTCCTAACCTACTACCTGGCAACTGGAGTGGGGCACTGAGCTATTCATCTTCAGTGGAAGGTTCATGTAATTTGTGATGTCAGCAGTGTCTTGAGATAAGAAGAAAGTGTAAGTGTTTTAATTTTCCTCCCAGTTCTCTCCCACTGTCCTGCTGTGCATTATATGGGCCCTCCTCCCCTTTTCACTTGTGTCCTCACTAATAAACATAGTTTTTTCTTTTTAAATATTCTAAGTAATGATTATTGTTATTTTGATAGTAGCATTTATTAGATTTAGGGTCTTTATGCAGAAAAGTATAGTGAAAACAAAAAAAGAAAAGAAAAAAATCCATATCCAAATTAACTCTGTTACTTGTATGTTTTTAAAATGTTTGTACATCAGTACAGTTCTTCTCTTTCCTAGTCACTTTCTCCAAAGGTAGCTACAGTGAACAGTTTCTCATGTATCTTTTCTGAACATAATTTAATGTGAATAGCAACATGTATATGTATCCTTTTAAAAATTTAGACAAAAGGAAGCATGTAGTAATACTGGCTGTTCTCAATTTTTTTTTTTTTTTTTTTTGAGACAAGCTCTCATGCTGTTGTTGCCTGGGCTGGAATGCAGTGATGTCATCATAGCTCACTGCAGCCTCAGACTCTTGGGCTCAAGTGATCCTCCTGCCTCAGCCTTCCAAGTAGCTGGGACTACAGTTGTGCACCAACACACCCAGCTAATTTAAAAAAGAAATATTTTGTAGAGACAGGGGTCTTGGTATATTGCTCAGGCTGGTTTCAGACTCCTGGCCTCAAGCAGTACTCATGCCTCAGCCTCCCAAAGTGCTAGGATTACAGGCATGAGCTACCATACCTGGCTGCCAACTTCTTTTTCCAATTAATAATGTCTTGGGCTAGGTACGGTGGCTTATGCCTGTAATCCTAGCACTCTGAGAGGCTGAGGCAGGGGGATCACTTGAGCTCAGGAGTTCCAGACCAACCTGAGCAAGGTTTTCTATTTTTTTTTTTACTAAAAATAGAAAAAATTAGCTGAGTGTCATGGTGTGCGCCTGCAGTCCAACTACTCGGGAGACTGAGGCAGGAGGATCGCCTGAGCCCAGGGGTTTGAGGTTGCTGTGAGCTAGGCTAATGCCATGGCACTCTAGCTTGGGGGACAGAGCAAGATTGTCTCAAAAAAGAAATCTTGGAGCTCATTTCATATCAACACTTACAGATCTAGCTCATTCTTTTAATGACTATGGTATTTTATTTACATGATGTACCAAACAACCAGGACTTTTTTTTTTTTTTTAGTGTATTGTGGGGGTACAAGTGTTAAGTGACATATTGCCCATGCCCCCCTCCCCCCTCGAGTAAGAGTTTCAAGCGTGTCCATCCCCCAGACGTTGCACACCTTACTCGTTTTGGTTGTATATACCCATCCTTCTCCCCTCCCACCCTCCCACGCCGACACCTGATAAATGTTACTCCTATATGTCCACTTAGGTGTTGATCTGTTAATACCAGTTTGCTGGTGAGTACAATGTGGTGCTGGTTTTTCCATTCTTGAGATACTTCACTTAGTAGAATGGGTTCCAGCTCTATCCAGGAATATACAAGAGGTGCTATATCACCATTGTTTCTTAAAGCTGAGTAGTACTCCCATGGTATACATATACCACATTTTATTTAATCCACTCATGAATTGACGGGCACTTGGGTTGTTTCCACAGCTTTGCAGTTGTGAATTGTGCTGCTATAAACATTCGAGTGCAGGTGTCTTTTTCATAAAGTGACTTTCGATCTTTTGGGTAGATGCCTAGTAGTGGAATTGCTGGATCAAATGGTAGATCTACTTGTATCGCTTTAAGGTATCTCCATATTGCTTTCATCAGAGGTTGAACTAGTTTGCAGTCCCACCAGCAGTGTAGGAGTGTTCCTCTCTCTCTGCATCCACGCTAGCATTTATTGTTTGGAGACTTTTTGATAACCCAGCCATTCTCACTGGAGTTAAGTGACTACCATTGTGGTTTAATTTGCATTTCCCTGACGATTAGAGATGTTGAACATTTTTTCATATGTTTGTTGGCCATTATTCTGTCTTTTTTTGAGACGTTTCTGTTCATGTCCTTTGCCCATTTTTTGATAGGGTTGTTTGATTTTTTTCTTGCTGATTTTCCTGAGTTCTAAATAGATTCTAGTTATCAGCCCTTTATTTGATGTGTAGCTTGCAAAAATTTTCTCCCATTCTGTGGGTTGTCTGTTTGCTCTCTTGATAGTTTCTTTGGCTATGCAGAAGCTTTTTAATTTGCTCAGGTCCCATTTGTTTATTTTTGTTGCTGTTGTGATTGCCTTTGGGGTCTTCTTCATAAATTCTTTGCCTAGGCCAATATCTAGAAGAGTATTTCCAACATTTTCCTCTAGAATTCTAATAGTTTCACACCTAAGGTTCAAGTCTGTTACCCAGCATGAGTTGATTTTTGTGAGAGGTGAAAGGTGTCTACCAGGACTTCTTGTTTCCAGTTTTTATCATTAGAAACAATGTTGCATGAAACCTGATTGCACATCTATCTTGGCCTACTTTTGCAGAAATATCTGTAGTGAATTGCTGCATCAAAGGGTAGATGTTTTTAAATGTTTTATAAAAATTGTTGAATTGTACCCACACCACCAAAGGCTGTGCTGACTTACAAATTTACTAACTGTGTATGAGACTGCATGTTTCTCTAGACCTTTACCAACACTTCAACTATTGCTAGTCTTAGAGGGGAAAATGACATCTTGTTTTGATTTCTTCTTCAATTATGGGTAAAGTTATATTATTTCTGTGGTAACCTGTAGTTTTCAAAACCCATATGAAAGAAAAGTCATCTATTAATAATAAGGCTCATTGGCAATCTTGACTGATTTCTTTCTTGGAATAAAAGAAGGAGCACAGTAGTACCATGGGGATTAGGATGTTTTTGCATTTATTTAAACTCTCCTAAGATTCTGTGAGGTTTTATCGGTATCAGGCAGAAAAGGAGCATGAAATATCCTTGGAATACTTAACTTCACATCCACTGGAGTTTAGGGATTAAATTACAGATCTTTTCTGTTTGAATTCCCATAGTACAAATTGGTGTAGGGGAGGGAGAGAGGGCCCTTTTTGTTTTTCATGTAGGATTAATTATGCTGAATTGCAATAGGTAATTTGTCTCATGAGCACAGCTGCCTAGGAACCCCAACCCAGATCTTGGGGCAAATCTGAATCCCTTGGGGGAGGACAAGCCTGCAATAGGATAGATCTATTTCATGGATACTTAAAGTCTAGGGAGAGACTTTA